CCTTTAATTTGGCTCACTTCCTTACACCTTAGAGTAAAAACCTTGGGAGAGAAAAGATTCCTCTCACTTTCCTCTTCAATAACCCTAAACTTGTGTTACATTTAGGGCTTGGTTGCTTGGATTATAGAGATTCAATTCTCTATTGAGGTAGGGGTGGTTATATGTTTATCCTCTTTGGGTTTTATATATATTGGAGCTTGATATATATTGATTACATACTTTAAAATTCTTGTATTTGCATATGAATAGAGATTTTGTATGCTTGACTTAGGATTTGTGAATTAAAGCATGTATATGACTATTAAATTGTATACGTAGGTTATTGTTTAATGATTTGCCTAATACTTGTGACTTCATTGAGGATTTATGATGAATATCTTGAAATTACTCTTGTGTTGTTAAGTAATATAGATTTCATTGAAAGTCTTGTAAGTATCACTTGAAATTACTTGTAGGTAAATTGCTATATTGTATAATTAGTAATTGTGGCCTACACTAATATTAAATCCATGTGGCATAATGTGTAGTATCATTAGCTTGCCACTTTAGATATGAAACCTTAGGGCATGGTTTGTGTGGTTTTACCCTACTTGTGCTTGGTAGGTAGTTCATGCATTGAGATTGTATAAATGTCATGAACTTGTTGATTTTGGAAGCTTGTAAGGATATGAAATGTTTGATGGCTAGAGTTTGGCTCTAGTACGGAGGATAGGAATTCTCCTAAATCATACTGCGCACTAGGTAGTACCTTGTGGGTCATAAATACCCAAAATAACTTGTATGGTCTCATGGTCACATATCCTAGTCTTTCCATTACTTGATTTCGCATTACTATCCAAGTTGTAAATCATGGATTTCTTGTAGCTTGTGATTTGGTAAATCTTAGTTTTAATGTGGTTGGTGTACTTACTTATGAATACTTAGATGTTACGTATTTACCGTTCAACATTTGTATAGCTTGAGATGATCCCTTAAAGCACCATGGGAACATAGACGTTAGGTGGAATGCACCCTTGTGATAGTCTATGTTTGGTTCACATTATACTTGAAACTATAGGGTATGCGCATGCACTACATCCTACGAGTAACTTGATTACTCACCCTAGTGGTTTGGGTTGTTTTTCAGGTAAAGAGACTATGTTCTTGGAGGCTCATCATCCTTAGAAGCTTTTGAGCTAAATGAAACATTTTTGTATATTGACATGCAAGTGTTTAATATGCTTTTCTTTTGATATCATATTTTGAATACTATGTATGTATGGTACTTTTGAAGATTATGTAACCTCTTTGATGTGTAAGATGCTTAAGTAATCACATTTGAAATTAGAAGCATGTATGAAAAGAGGCCAAGGGCCAAGCATGTCTATCTTGGTACTTAGACACTTTTGATATAACATTTTTGTTTCAATTGTCTTTTAAACCAAAGTTTGAGGTTTGACATATGAAAATCTTGTAAATGATGTGTATGAGGCCATGGGCCATTGTTTTATGTTTATTTATTCATATCAAAGTTGTTGACATGTTCACATTCTCAAAACTCATGAAAAATCAGTTTTACATATTCATTGTGAACCAAAACAACATGGGATTCAAAGTTGAGGTTGAACCTTAACACCTTGGACTCATAGTAGCCTTTTTAGCAGCTTTTCGTGGTGTTTCGGTCGACCGAAACTCCGATGGCAAATGGAATTGCCAATGCACAGTATTATCACATTCCAGTAGCCGAATGCAATGTTCATGAGTCATTTCGGTTGACCGAACCTTTATTTCGGTCTACCGAAGCAACACGAACCTTTTCTTCATGATTTTAGGTCTCAACACTTTCATTTCGGTCGTCCGAAGGTCCATTTCGGTTGACCGAAATAGCTTGATGCCGAGCCTAGTCTCTATGGAGTTCCAGCACTGATCATCCAACTTCAACGGGTCATAACTTCTTTGTTTCTAATCCAAATAGGGTGATTGTTGAGCCTAAACTTAAGGATTTTGAGTCAGCTTTCCAATGGTACCAATCCCATTTTCAAATTCCAAACATAGTGGGAGGTATGTATATTTTAGTGAAGCAGTGTCAGTTTTCACTTCAACCGGGACGGGGCATTTTGTGGGATTCTTAGCCAATGTTCATGGAACCTCTTGGAATGTTTCAAAATGATTAAATTAGATTGTATTAACCTTGTTTGACTTGTTTAGAGTCAAGTTTCTCCTTTTAATAGTGAATTGACCTTTTTGCCCCTTGGATAGCAAATTTTGTCCTTTTTGACCTTTGTTTTCGTTTTCGTCCTCTTTGAGTTCCGTGACCTCATGGAGGGTCACATTTGTGTCTTAGGAATGACTCTTATTTCTTAAGACCTTGGTTTATCATTTGCTTCCGCATTTTGGATCCGTTATCGGACCAACTTTCGGTTCATCACTAACGCACCGGGTTGAAAAACTTAGGCCATCACAGTTATCAAATGCATTTCAAGGCTTTCTATGAAGTATAAAGAAAACAAACCGTTTAACAATTAAAAATTTCAAAATTATACAAACTACTTTTTAATAGCAAGAATTTCTTTTTCCATTAGAATATAGTTTAACTCACTTGGTTTGAATGTTCGCGGAGTATACTTGAAAACCTATTATAGGATAGCTTATGGCCTTTTTGCCTTCATAATTCCACTCCTTTGAATTTAAAGAATATATTTTGACAATTAAAAATTCATTTTGTGTAGGATGTTTTATCTTTTCGACCATTATTATGACATTTCTAGAACTTGTGAACAAAATCGCACTAAGGTGTTTAATCATTATACTTATGTTTTAGGTACTATATTAGGATTAATGATTTGTTTGTTTTTGTATTTAAGTTTTTAAAAATGGTCCAATGTTTTTTAATGAACCTTTATATTTTGGATTCGACTTTTAGTAGGTTTTCATATGTAATAAAATTTCAAGTTAATGAAACATGCTTATTTTAGTAATTCTTTCTCGCTTATGGTTGCAATTTTTGTTTTATTTATTTATTTATCATGTTTTATATTCTTATATTGACAATTTGTGATTAAAAAAGGGAGAGAGAAAAGTAATGAAACATGAAACAAGTATATGGTTTTTTCATATGAAGATTGTAATAAGTAATGATAATTTATTTCTCGTAGAATTAACCTTATGAATTGTTTAAGTGTTGAGCTTAAATATGAAAATCATATTAAACTTAAATATAGAATTAGAAAAAGCTAGAAATATAAAAATAAGTCATAAAATTTTAAGTGGTTAATATGCCCACTGATGAGTAAGTTTTTTTATTTATTGGTTTATTTATCGTCGTTCATTCGATATAGCACTATGTGATTTTTTATTTTTTATTTTTGCAGTGCTCAAGCTACCGTGTGACATAGAAGTTATATTGAGTAATTTTTAATGTATTTTAATACTTTTTGTTTTATCACAAAATTGTCAAAGGGGAAGATTGTTAGGTTCATAAAATTTACTTGGAGAAATTCGTTGAACAAAACCACTCAGTATAATTTTAGTCTATGTTTAGTACGTGTGAGTTGTTTAAAGAAATAGTCAGGTTAGAAGATCGACACTAGTACATAATTCTATTGAAGAAATTATTTTCGAGAATAGTTTTCAGAGAATCAAAACAGAGAACAGTTTTCAATTTTTTGATTTTAAAAATCTACTTGATTGCAAAAATTACAAAAATAGTTTCATGAACTGAAAAAAAAAAAAAAAAAAAAAATGTACATCTCTTTTTTTTTTTTTTTTTTTTTCAGATATTAATTATTAATGCAATATTATTTTCCCTTAAGTCTACTCATGCCATATTTATTACAAGTGTTTGAGAGGCATTCTCTTAAATATTCTTAAGTTAATTAGAATTAAACAAATATAATATCGAAATTTAATTAGAACTACATGATTTAAATAGAGTAAAAGAGGAACATGAATATTAATTTCAGATTATTCATTACCATTCACATACCATGATGTTTAACCTTAAAAAGTAAAAATAAAACAGTTTATTTATTTTTCTTTTTTGATTTAGTAGTGGCAAACTTGCAATTTCATTCCACAAGAAGTTGGCATAAAGCTCTTACATCCATACTCGGGCATACCCCAAGGACAAAAAAAACAACATGAAAACTCTAATCCCACCGAACTTTTAGGAACCAAAACCCACTCCAAAAAATACAAGAGTACTACACATCTAAAGGAATTATTAATCTTTTTTTAAGGTCAAAACCTTTAGTCTAACCACCCCTATAATTTGCTTTTGAATAGAAATGAGACCTTGATACTCATTTTTGTACACTGCCATTTCTTTCCCTCCTACCATGGATTAAAATATCTCTTGTAGTGATGCACATTAAGAAAATATTGCAATGTTAGGTTTCTATTTCAATATTTTTCTAACGTGCACCACTGACTGAAAGGGACCAATTTACTATTGCACAAGAGATGATTTTGATCTTTAGTCTATTGATTCACTATATATATATATATAGTACATCAAAATCAACTTCATTTTACATTGGACTAACTTGGGTTTAATGAATGGTGATATTTTGTGTGTGTGTGTGTGGGGCCGGCGTGAGTACAAACATCTGGGATTTGTTTAGAACTGTCCAGACAAAAACAATTTTCTACTTGTTAGTTATTATTTTTCGGGTTTGATTGGTTTGTAATTTTGAATATAGTTCTCAAGAATTCAGAGTACAGAAAACTGTTTACAGAGAACAATCTTTTATAGTTATTTGAAAACATTGCATTTTTATAACTGTTGAACCAAGCAGAATTTTTTGTACTATTTTCTGTAAGAATAAAAAACTATTTCCACAGTTACAAACCTAGTAGACCGAAACACGAATATTAAATCTATCATCGTTGGCCCGTCAAATTGAACACGTTTACCAAATGAATTTGGCAAATTAAATATGAATTTCAAATTTATTTGAATTAAAGTTTGTCTCATGGTGGCAGTCAATTATAAGAGTTGCAATTTCAAATTTCTGAAGCTGTTATCCGGTAATACCTATTTTTTGAACTATTGGTACCAAACAATACAAGGATTATAAGTAGAAATCATCCTCTGGGCCATGGCTCTATATTGTTCCTAACACAACACTTTTTCCACACATATTGCAACTTTATGTACGCAACATTGCTCTATGCAACCTAAGGAGCCGCTCCCTCTACTTGGTACAAAATATGCCAGCCATTTTTAACTACATTGAGCTTGTTATTATTTTACAAATCATAACAAAATAACATATGCATTAAGTCCTTATTTATAATAGTTGTCATCGTGATCATTATCATCATTCTTGTCTTGATTCCATATCCGTGGGATATGACTTGAATCCTCTTCAGTGATTCGTCCAGTTAGTGATGCACGTTCCAAAAAAAAAGTTGAATTATTTAGCAAACATTCCAACCTTTTTGTAGTGTATTACTAACTAGACGAAACGAGAATGCGAGAGGATCTTGTTCCGTGTGGGATAGGCCGTCCATGACTCAATTTATCTCGCTACTACTTGACGGGGTGACAATCCATCCTCGGACACATCAAACAAAATTTCATCACTCTTGCACAATGCATAGACAATATCCACCATACTAGGTCGCCTTGAAGGTTCTCTATGCAAGCAAGCAACCGCTACAGTCATCACGTTCATGACACTCTCCATCGAGCATGGCTCCTGGAGAAGAACACCATCCATCCAACCCTTCAATTTCTTTTCCTTTGTCTCTTCCTTCCCATCCAAAATGCCGGTCACACTCGTCCAGAGGAACTTCCCTTCTTCGTCAACGACGGCCTCTCTGCCCGAGACAAGCTCAAGCAACACTACCCCAAAAGAGAAAACATCCATTTTCGTGGAGACCACCCCGTCCGCTAGATATTCAGGGGCAATATAGCCTTGAGTTCCTACAATGTGCATTGTTATGGCATTGCAGCCTGACTTGGCTAGTCCGAAATTGGCTATCTTGGATCTCATGTTCGCATCCAGAAGAATGTTGCTGCTTTTGATGTCCTTGTGTACAACACGCGGCCTGGTGTGCTCATGAATGTATTGGAGGCCATTCGCGACATCAATGGCAATTCGTAACCTTGTTTTCCAGCTAAGCTTTTCGTGCTTGTTTCCATGCAACCATGAGTGTAGAGATCCATTCTCAACATACTCATAGATTAGGTAACAATTTCCGTCTTCAGGATCTATGCTGAAACCCTCTAGCTTCACCAAATTACCATGGTTTACCTACAAAACATAAAGCAGCAAATCATGGTGATGTTTTCAATTTCACACACACACACACACACAAACTTGGAGACATGTAATAAGCTCTTTCCACATAATTAATACACTATAACCTTCACTTTTGTGCTAAAAGTTGCATAAATTTTCATTCGCCATTTTAGGCTGGCTTCTTATTTCTTGTTAGTTTGGAATATGGATGTGGTTTTCTTGGCGGAGTTTTGGGCTTTAAAATCATGCATGTTCAAGAATTTGGACCTTGTCCTCCTTCCAAACACCGGCTGAGAAAACTCTACAACACTTCGGGTACCGTACTCCCGAGACTCTTAGCCATCAAACGTGGTAGTGGGGCCCACCTGATGGATTTGGAGATCTTGGAATATAATATCCCGAGTATCATACCTCCGAGACTCCTAGCCATCAAATGTGATAGTGGAATCCACCTGATGGATGTAGAGATCCTGAAATACGATACACCGGGTATTGTAGAACTTCTCCATAGCCTGCTGGCCCATGTTAGGCAATTATTTGTGTAGATATATACACACATCACTGTTGTGCTTAGCTCACCTATTGTGGCATTTATGTAATTGGGAACAATAGAATAAAGGAAATTAGTAATTGAAAAGATTCCCAACCAAAGAACAAAAGGCAATACCATCTAAGCAATTTAAACAAGGGGAATGGCATAAACAATTGGGAAGGACAGACTTGGGTATCCATGTTAGTGGAATCATTTCTTTTATATATTGCATAGCCAATGTTTAACTTGCATCATGTCAATATAATCATTTTTGAATTCAATAGTGCCAATATTTTATAGATTTGTCATTTTTGCTGATGTCTTCAATTTTAGTTTTCAACCCACCATAACTTGCAATGTCTTGAATCTGTCTCCTAAAGAATGCACTGTTCTACTTATCAAAAAACACAGAAAAAGAATGCACTGTTCCATGAAACAACTAAAATATAATGATAGATGATACCTCTATGATAGTGTAATGTTATATCAGCAGTGTTCCTTAAAAAAATAAAATAAAATGAGGCTATTTGCAGGAAAGGACAAGACAACACAGCTCCTGCAACCAATTGTTAAGGGTTGAAACCTAAGAAATCAATTTTTAAAACCTTGTGAATAGGGCAGGTCACTTACCTAACCATTAATTTAATATGAATTAATTTATTATAGGAGCCATTTTGTAATGATTCTCTTTCAGTGGTGTCCCTATCTTTTTTGGACTTTTTCATATTTTACCTCATGCAATCCTATATATCCTATTAATATCCAATGTTAATTGAACTCATATCAGATACCTCCCTGCCTAAATACTAAAATCAGGTATTAAAATGGTATAATAAACAAAGGAAACATCTGTAATATAGCATTTCTAACGCATTTGTTTAGTTGTTAAATGATAATTGGCCCATAATTAATGATACCAAAACCATATAGTAATTTTTAGTAAATTCTAAACAAGCTTCATGTCAAATGGCAATTGGTCGGGGACCAACTATTGATCTCGGACTATATAATAATTTTCAAGTAACTTCAAAACAAGTTGGTCCAGAATTAAAGATCCCGAAATTATATAGTAATTTTTAATAAATTCTAAACAAGTTTCGTGTCGATCCGGAACATGTAATAATTTTCGAGTAACTTCAAAACAAGTTTGAGTAAATGTAGAAGTAATTTATAATTACCTTCTGTAAGATCTTGAGTTCTTCATAGGCATTCCACTTCATCTTCTTGATAGCATACATCTCCCCATCAATACAACCTCTATACACAGACCCTTGAATCACACATCTCTGATCAAACCCATCAGTCGCCTCTCTTAATTCCTCAATCCCAAAAACCCTATACTTATCCAAGCAATCCGAAACATCAGCCATCAGATTCAAATCCACCTTCTTCGAAACCCCCGTCCCTCCCGCACCCAATTTCTGTCTCTCCTTATCCATCTCCACCTCTCTCCTCCTCTTCAACAGAGCCTCCCTGTATCCCCACAACCCACTGATCAGAATCAGAAGCCCGCCACACAATCCCAACCCAATTGCCAATCCGGTGACGGCGCCTCTTCTCTCACATTTCTTGGAAGTCACGGGAGCCACAGACGGCTGCGAAAGGATGGGGAGTCTCGACACCGGGACGAAAATCGTGTCGGAAGGCTGAATGTTTTGGCCATTGAGACTGATGACAGACTGTGCAGTGGAGCCAAACAGTGAAGCTACGGATTCTATTGTGTCCCAAGGTTGGAACACGTAGCTGACGAGATAATTGACTTGGTTTTGGAGCTGGGTGGCGTCGGGACACTTGCAGAAGATCGGAAACACCACGTTTTGGCCGATCGTGAGGTTGGTCGGCACCAGCGTGGGATTTACAACCTCCACAGATTGGTAAGTGGTGAGGTTTTGGAACTTTTCGGTAGAGACTAAGTAGTAGGTATCGCCCGGCTGGATGGTGTATGTGAGATTAGCGGAGGAAATTGCGGTGGTGATGTTGACTGAATTGCATCCGCATGTGAGCGGAACAAAGAGGGATTGGTTGTTGACGAGAGGTGAGGTTGGGGAGGAGATGTTGCTAGGGTTTGATATCATGAGGCGGCTGACGGAGAAGAGGTCGCCGACGGAGGCGAGGTCTAGGAAGTCTGGAGCGGTGGCTCGGTAGAAGGCGTAGGTTTGGCATGGATAAGTGGTCTGGTTTAGTGAGCAGGTGTAGCCTGTGATGTTTGGTGGTAACCGGCCCAACTGGGCATGTACATGGTGAAGCTGGTTATGGCAGTAGAGGAAGAAGAAGAAGAGTAGCAGTGAGTAGAGTGGGGTGGATTTGATTGATCTCATTGTTGCCATGTTGTTGATACTTGAAACTGATCCCAATAAGCTAAGCTGCAACATATAAGAACAGAATGGAGGTGGAGGAGAACAAAAATCCCATCTACATTAGTCTAGATGCTCAATCAATGGAACATGGGAACTGTTCTCATCTGGGTCCCACCTAAAACGACTTTTGGTCAACTAAATTGAATAGAAAAGCCATCTAATATTATCTTCCGTCCTACAATTCCTGTTCACTTTAGGCTCTATTTTTTCACAAATCTGGAAAGGGTTCTCCATTTAATTGCTCAGCATCGTGATTTGTATGTTTTTTATGATTTAACATTTTAGCTCAGTGTTGACTTGGTCTTTGTGCCATTAAAATGATATATGATATTATTTTCATGTTAAAAAATATATATATAAAAAATTAATATACTATTTTTTATAACATTAACATTTTAAATTTATAATTGGTAAAAAATAAATTTAATAATTCATTCAATATCAATATAAAAAAATAAAATAGATATACTAATTTTTATAATATTTTAAAACTATCTTTTTAACATTGACATAATAAAACAAGTATACTAATTACATAGTAGTCACTATTTTTGGTTCCTATAAAAATTAGATTAGCAAAGCAACTCAACTAAGTATTATATAATTACAATAAATTACTATTTGATACTTAAATAAAAATTTAAATAAAAATATTTTTTTATTTTATTATTTAATAAAAAATTCACACACCTACCTTATTTTTTTTAGAGACTTGAATCCTCACCGTTAAATTTGGGATAAGTGGAAAATTTATTTATTTATTTTTTATATATATATTTGTTTGTGATAGGTGTGAATTAAGTACTAGGATGGCTTCACTTATCTCTCTGACTCTTTCTCCTATGATAAGCTGGTGCATCAAATTGAATGAAACAGAAGGTGACTCCGGATTCGTAATAGATCTGTGTTGATGGGAACTGAATGCAATAAAGTAACGTGTCCACAAGGAAATCATGTTTGTCTTACTTTGATCTAGTTGTGGAATTGAATGTGAAACAGTGACATGACCATGACTTTGAACACGGTTAGGTTGAAATTGGAGGCTATAGAACCTTGGAGTATTATTGATGATGTCATAAATAGATACTACTAAGAATTTTCCATTCTCCAACAACAAGATGAGCACATTTATTTGACAAACAAAACCAAATTCCGAGACCTACGATCATCACCAATTGTATAGAGCATAACGTTCGATTCTTTCTTCTTCTTTTGAAAATTTCAATGCTTGTGCAGTTGAACGAAGAAATTATGTAATGAAGTGACATATTGTAATATGGATTGTTTATCTCATAGCGAATTCGAATGAAAAAATAATTAGGTATAAATAGGTCGGTATATAGTATTACTCAATAATTTGAACTTTTTGATAATTGTACAAGTACCCATCCGTTATAATTGATATGAGAACCACCTAATTTTTCATCCAATGTCACGTTAAGCGCCTAATTTAAAAGGCATCCGGATGAACACCCTTGGTAGGCAGGGTAGTCCGAACCGCAATGAGAGCGTTTCGAATTTGAGTAGGAGAGAATATAACAACAGTCATTTATTTCATAATGGATTCAGATAGAAAAGTTATTGAGTATCCATCCAACACTACTCAATAATTTGAGTTTTTGAATACGTTACACATATCCAAATTAAATTAAAAAAATGAAATGAATCTATAATTTAACTCTACTTTTGAATTTACTACCAACATTACTTATCGCGGGTTACAAAGCATCCATGTCATTCAGGACAAGAAGAAACACCAAATTAGTTTGAAAATATATTGGTGAAGAAGAAAATAGACTTTATTTATTGAGGTGATTGAACATTTGTTTTTGTGCAAATGGACACATACTCATAATATATTGCCTCTAACAGTATTTGAACGCTTAACTTTTGAACACTTGACTTTTCTTATGAAAGAAGTTTCATACCAGAATTAATGTTCATTGATCAATTACCTGAATTAATGTCCATTGATGAATTACCATAAATTACTTGTCGAGATAAAGATCAAAGGAATATCACACAGCTTGCCAAAAACACTGACCAAAATTTTGGCAAAACGCTCATATTCGAATTCAATTGATTAACTATACAACCCAAAAGGATTTTCTGCACATCATTTATTAAGTTGACAATGAAGTTTACAAGTGTTCAAGAGAAAAAATGCCTTATCAATGTGACTAATTGTTGATCGAGGATGCAGGGAGGGACACTGTGGATAAAGGATTTAACCTTCAACAATAAAAATGCTAATGAGCCAATTTTTTTACCATTTCACTTGGTTACCAGACAAACATGGTCATGGTAAAATCTTGGCTTTGATGAACACCAAGAACCATAGGCAAACGGAAAAAAATATGGCAAAGTGTCCAGCGTAGGAATAGTATCAAGGTCAGGTTTGGGCAGCGTACATTGACCGTCCCCATCCCTTTAAATTTTCCTGGTCTGATTTCGTCCAAAACTGTTTACCAAACCTTCTCCCCCCACCCACCTTGTTTGAGTTTCCTTTCCCTTGCTCCGTGGTGCCCCCACCTACTCGTGTTGTTTAAATTCTATTTAAACTTTCTACTAAAATTTTAAAAAGTTGTATTTATAAGGGTTAAGTGTAAAAATACCCCTCAAATATGCTTACAGTGCATATTACACATCTCTCGTGCAAAAAACACCTCTTGAGTTTCAATTTGGTGTAATAAAGTCTTTCTGGCACAATTAAAACCAAACTTGACTAAAGTACCCTTAATCAACAATTTTATAAAATATATAAAAATACAAAATTTTGTAAAAAGACCAAAAAGGACAATAAACAGTGACTTTGTCGTTTTGCACACCCATTCTGCAATTCGGTCTGGGTTATAGTAAAAAATCGCCATAGAAGAGTGAGGTATCGAGACTGTCATAGAAGACGGTGAACTTGGTGTTGGGGTTTTTTTTTTTTTTATTTATTTTTTATTTTTTATCAGAAGAGAGATGTCTTAGGTGGCGGTGACCTCGGAGGCTGTGGCGTTAATATGGGAGACAGTGGCGGAGGCGACCATGAACTAAGGGAGGCGGGGGCAGAGGACGAGCCAAACGATGAAAAGATGACTCCAATTATGAGGACAACGACGACGAGATGGTAGAGGAAAGAGTGGCGATCATGGGTATGAAATTGGTGGTGTTAAACGGCAATATAGAAGGTGTCGGTGGCGCCACTGCGTGGAGGTATTAGAAGGTGAAGCTCGTGAATGTGGTGTCGGAATTACCCTGTTCGTCCCCACCGATGAAGCGTTCTCGAATCTTTTAGCGACTGCGAAGTCGCCAAGTTTCAATCTGCGAAGCCATTACTGGGGACTAAGGCGATGGGTGCCGGCCGGAAGCTACACTCTACAAATATCGAGGGAAATCCGGCAGCGGCTCCCGCCCCTGAAATGTGAAGCATCGTGTCTCAGAGTTTCAAACCCGCCGTTTCCACCTCCGTGACTATCCCAATTGTTGACTTCGGAGAGAGCCAGAAACCCCATCATCGGAAACACTGGTGAGCAAAGACGGTGCAGGGAACTTGGAATGGCAGTGACGGAATAGACCGGCTGTGACATTGCGTCGTGGCACCGGTGGGTAAGGAGAAGCTCGGCTGTGAGCTTCTCGGCGGTGACTCGGTTGTGGATGACGTGGTTGTGATGAAGAATTGCGGTGGTGACTTGCTTGGAGGATTGACAACGGCTTAGATGGCTCAACTTTGGATGATGTCGGCCGTGATAGAGCGGCGGCGAGCTTGGCTTTGATGATAGAAGCGGCAGTGAGCTTGACTTTGCTGGAGCGATGACAGAGAGGACGGACGGTGGTGAGAAGACGGGATCGGCTGTGAAGAGCTCGGCCATGGATGACTCGGCGGCGAGCTCGGCCGGTAGAATCAGTGGCCGACGAGCAAGGGAGGGCTTAAAATTTTAGAGTCCAGTCCAGTCAAAATTTTAGGGCTTAAAACTTCAATCCAAAAACAATCCAATTCAACTTCCTCAATTCGGATCCTAACTGGACCCAAAATTTTAGTTGGTTTAGAGTTCCTGCCATTGATAAATTTTTTTTTTTTTTTGATCTTCTCTTTTCTGTTTCGATTGAGTTTTACAGAGACTAGAGAGAGAAGGATGGATATTTTTGGAAGACTAAAAGGGCAAAATGGGTATTACAGCAATAATTTATGTCAGATTTCTAACAGAGGGGTAATTTTGCACAATTTCAAAAGATTAGGGGTGTTTATTGCACATTTTTCAAATAGAGGGTAAAAGTGTTACTACGAGTATACTTGAGGGGTATTTTATGCACTTACCCCTATTTATAAATAAAAATTCTTTCAAAATATATACAATTGTACCAATTTTAATGAGATAAAATTAACATTCTTCCAATAATAAGAGTAATTTTGTATATAACACAACGTATAAGAGTAAAATGGTAAATTCTCAATTAAATAAGGCGGGACGGGGCAAGGCAGAGGCATCTTTCCCGTTGCCGGCCCACACCTGCATAAATTTTCACTCCTAAAACTTATCCCCACTCAAAATAACTTGCCACCCGAACGGTTTTAAATGGGGCCGATATTATTCCATCTTTAGAACGAGATGACTTGGGTGTGCTCGGCGTACCGTGCATCGAGCTCATCCGAGCCGTACGTGTTGTCCATGACACGTGTTGTACACGTACGGCTCAAATGAGCCGGTGCACTATGCACCCAAGTTCTCCTCTAGAACCAACTGATATGCAAAAACATCTGTACATATACAGTATCTAGAGATTTGATACTATTTTTTAATCTCACTGTTATACTGCAACCCCGGTGGGGGTCACCTCTAAAATCATAAAATAAAGCACAAAAGACTTTTAAGACTCCATTTGGTTAGATTGAATTATCTAAAAAAAAAAAAAAAGACGTAGAATATTTATTTATTTATTTTAAGTTTGGATAAAATAAAAAGAAAACTTTGAAGAAATTAGATTAATTTTCACAATTAGTTATTGATAATTGCTTAAATGTTGCGCATTTTAGCACCTAATTTTTGTCCATTCATCTATCTTACTTTCCCGTTTTAGTTCTAATTCTTGTTTTTGTTTCTTTCAGGTC